CTCTCGTGCCGAACGGCAGCCGCACATCGTTGAGTTTTCACTCACCTCTCGTGCCGAACGACAGCCGCATATTAATGAGTTTTCACTCACCCCTTGCAACAATCGGCACATCATGCCGTCTCTTATCCAAGCTCACTCGCTTGGGCACTTGGGGGACTACATACCACCATCGGCAACTATGAGACCATTGTGTCCGGGTCAGAATGCCAAATACATATTCAAGTCCCCAACCGAGAAGCTTCTCAATCGGCAACTTGGGGGACTACTGTTTGTACCGTATCTGACCCTCCACTCGTACAACGACACGTGGATCTTAGAAACTCGCCCAAGTACCCAAGGCCTCGGACAATCGGCATCGGCCACCGATGGCATTGTCTCAAAGCTGCGAACAGTCATTACAGGCCCAGCTCGTCTACAATCGGCATCCCTTACCGATTGTAGAGAATCAACCTCGAAGTATCCGCCCAAAATATCTAAAGACTCGTGTCGACCTCAGAGGGTCCTCCCACGAGTCCCACATCGAAAATGAGTACTAAGAGCATACAAAATGCCCTCTATAAATAGGCCCCTTCACTACAATACAGGGGTAAGACTTTTAAGCTTGACTTCTATACTTTTAAATGATCAACAACAAGAGCTCTTAAAAACAATCTTACTTGAGCATCGGAGGGTCTTAGGCTGGTTCCACACCGGTTCCATAGACCACACGAACCTCAAACTATCTTCTATTCAGGATCTGCATCCAAGGACAAGAAGGATCTGCATCTATCACTCAATCGATCTGCTAGATCGCCCTCATCACTTGTAAATTGCACTCATCTCTATCTGTTCAGATTTAGCGCCAACAATATTATACGACACGGACTAAGAATAGTTGGTCGTGTTTATGTAGGAGTTAACACGGCGGCTTGTTTGTTGAACCGTCATCTTTAATTTCTACGTCAGTGGCTTCATACCTGCTGTCGTTGTTTTTGGGTAAGAATTTAACCCTGAAGAAAACCTTTTCAATAAGACGAGCTTTTTTATTTGGGTGCGTCGTTTTAAAAAAATATTCAAGCGGACCTCTATTTTTTAGGTGTTTAAGTTATTTATCCACGACGGTTTTCTGTTACCGTTGTCTTTCTAAACACAATGACGGTATTTTGTTCCACAGTCTTTTTTTTCTGGTCGTCTTTTTCACTTTTTGTAGTAGTGAAGTGTCATGAAATAAGTGCTGATATAGTGTTGTATTGTTAAGAGTTTGTTTAAGCTGAGAGAGTTGTTAAGAGTTGTTATATATTGTAAGAGAAGAGAGATATATAATCTCAATCATTGTAATAATCTATATATCTGAGCAATAATACAAGAGGATCTTCTTTCATATATATCTTCTCTGCTTCTTTCTCTCTTCTTCTTTTCTTTTTTTTCTTCTACTATGAGATTGTTACGCAAACATGGTATCATGAACCATTTGGGCAATATTACAATCCCCAATTTCTTGTTTGATTTTATAAGCTTATTTGAGAGGGGCACTTTTGTGTGGTTTGCTCTGCATTGTATTTTAATGATATAGCCCGTCTATTTTTTAGTTATTTCTTCAAAGGTCATCTCTTCAAAAAATAACCTGAATTGAAAATCATTTAAACATGCAATTAAATGTTTGTATTAGTTTAGAATATTTGAATTTGAATCCCTCACTTTCAAGATTAGACTAGTTTAAAATATGGTCTTTTCAGTTAAAAAAGTAAAGCAGTTAGATTGAGAGGTTTTAGTGTAGACATATCAACCATTTAAACCAGTTAATGATGAACTTATTAAAGTGAGCTGTTTGTAAGAGCAATTTTTATTTTCCTTCAACACTTGGCTCTGCTTAGCCCAAGTAGCCCTTTCTTGGATTTAGATTTTGGGTTGAACCAAACTGTAAGGGCTCGTTTGGTACACCGTATTAGACTTTGGATATGAGTAATAGTTTATGTCGGGAATTTGGTGTCAACTTGTATTATTTAATTACCTAACTATTTTAAACGGGTTGGGCTTTTAATATTCTCCTTACTTGACTAACTAATACAACCCACACACTTTGGTTTAGATAATACACACTTAATTATACAGCTAGGGGAAAAAAAAACACGTTCACCTGAAAAATCCGACGATGCTATTTTCATCTTCTTCTCCTTAGGGTTCTTCTCTGCTATATTCTCCAAGGTTATTCTCTTCACTTTTCTCCAGGTATTCATCTATCTCTCTCCCTCTCTCATACTCTCTCCAATATACTTCTTCTCTCTTCTTCTGTCTTGATCTTCTCTTTCTTTATATATTTCCTCTTTTATTAAATTTTTGTGGAAATTAGGTTATGAGTTTTTCCTTTTTGACCTTTTTTTTCTTGTTGTATTGGAAAATACATACGGCTTGTATCCAACTCAATAATCAAATTATCAAATTATCTTAATACATGCTGCTGAGTTGTTCTTGTGTTTTTTTCTTTATATATTTCATCTTCTCCAGGTATCCAACTCAATAAGAATCCCAAAGATGGACTTGTTTATTACCAAAAAAATTGAAAAACAAATCTTGTCATATGAATCTTACCCAAAAAAATTTATGTCATTTCAATTTCAATTTCCACTTAAATTATCAAAGATTTTTTTTTTTTTCTAGAAGTCTGATCCGATATTATCCGGAACAACACCAAATGCGTTATAATATTATAAATAAACAGTTAATACTCTCCGTAACAGACTAATACTATGCGACAGAAATTAGTCAGTACAATCCAACATACCAAACCAGCCAAAGCTGTCAAAGCAAATCTGATTAATCCGAAAGAGAAGGTCAACTCCGTTGATGAAATGCCATTTCGCCATTAGCAGCGAGAGAGACTGAAACGAAAGAAACACAAAGATGAAAGACCCATCTCTGTTTTGCTCAGATTTTAGCATTCTCCGGCCTAAAAACCAAAGGTTTTGAAGAACCCAAGTTACAATGTCCATCGGATTGGTGTCCCAGGTCAAGGAAGTAAGCCAATCAGCGATTGCCACGCTTTGGTCATGGGGGAACTCCTGGAGCCGACCGCACTCAACCTCCCCTCCAATCTCTCCGAGGCCACTACCCGGCTGGCCCAGAACTTGACCCATTTCCGCTCCAACTACACCTTGCTCCTCTTGACCGAGCTCTTCCTCAGCCTCCTATACCACCCGGTCTCCATCATCGTCTTCTTGATCATCTTCCTCTACTTCTCACGTGACCAGCCCCTAGAAGTCTTTGGCTTTACTGTGGGAGACCGTGTTGTGATGGTTGTTCTTGGGGTGGTTACGGTGTTGGCTCTCGTCTTTACCCAAGTGTGGCTCAACGTCGTCGTTTCAGTGGTGATTGGGGTCGCTTTGGTTTCCTTGCACGCGGTGTTTAGGGGCACTAAGGAACTTGTTCTGGATGACCAAGAATCGCCTTATGGGGCTCTGCTCTCGGATGATCATGATTCATGACCCAAATGGGAATTATATCAGCATGTGACTGTTTCCGTTGTGTTCTCGAGGTTTTTTGGGGTGGGTGTTTTGATTTATTTTCTAGGTTTTCTTGAATTTGGAAAAGTTTTGAAATTGTTACGTATTTGGTTTGTTTGGATTGCATGGACCTGATGCAATGTATTGATATGCTGGTTTAGGATGTGTCTTGGTTTTTGGAAGTGTTAGTTGAAGAGAAACTGCAACTCAATGAATTGTGTATGATAACAAACATTACCTTTGGATAGATTAATGTGCTTCTAGTTGCTCCATCCAAAATGCATCTAAAATATGCAGACTTCTGGATTCAAATTCACAACGTACCATTGTGTTGTATGACGACAAATATGGGGAGACAAATTGGGAATAGCCTTGGACGTTGTTTGGATGTATTAGAAGGCATGGAGGGGGGGTGTTTGGGTAGATTCCTGCGGATTCGGGTCTTCTTAGACGTCTCTAAGCCATTACGGCGAGGAAAAAAGTTGACCCTACCTTCTGGAAACACAGAGTTCGTGGATTTCCGATACGAACGCTTGCCAGAATTCTGTTTTTGCTGTGGCAGAGTGGGTCATGTGTTCAAAGCGTGCGCCTTCGTCGACCATGCCGCTAAACAAGCATGCGAAAAGCCGTATGGGATATGGTTAAAGGCTACAAAGGATCTCAATTCTACAAGGGCAAATAATTCCAAGCGACCTAGCGGCGGGGGTATGAGTAGATACGACGTCGATCAAGGCAAGGATATACGAGGGTCAAAGGAGGATGGAGGGTCTGGAGTCCATGGAGAGTGGCTGTCTATGCAAGGAGAGCCTATTAATGCCCATCAACTGAGCAGTGACGAGGAAGGGGAATGGGTGAAGGGGAGAAAGACGGTGGAAGGGGGACAGAAGGGTAAATCCATAGGGGAGAGGGTGGCTGAATCTTGGCCGGGACTGAAGTGTAAACAAAAGGAGGAGGAGGAGAGGCGGCGAGTACAGAGGGAGGGGGCGGGGGAGGCGGCGGTAGGGGGTTCGAGGAATTCTCAGAGTAGGGCTGACGTGGCAACAAATCTAGACCCAGTAGATCATGTCATGATTGAGTCGGGAAGGCCGTTACAAATGCCCATTATGATTGGCGAGGGGGCTGTCATAAAGGAGAAAATAATTAGGAGTAATTCTACATTGAATGCCGCGGAGGCAAAGGCAGTTATGGAGGATGTGAATATAAAAACTGTTGCAGCCAAATTTAAAGCTGGCCTTGGTGATGATGGGTGTGCTTCACGGCATGATAATATAAGTGGGCTGGGTACTTCTAGATCCACAAATAATATTAGTGGGGCCCAACAACATGCTGGACTAGGGCCTAATTCTGGTACAAAACAACTGGAGGACAAGAAGTGATTCAACCAAGGCGATTGAGGGAGATTCCAATGAAGCTCGAGTTTTGCCTAGGAAAAGGGGACTAATGGAGCTACCGGATGCAGGGCAATCTGGGACAAAGCGGGCCAAAGAGGACGACATTATGAATGATTGTACAAACGACGTGATGGGATCAGCAGGGCTGACCCACCACGAGCAATGAGGATCTTAAGTTGGAATGTCCAAGGTCTTGGGGCTCCTCGGACATTCCAATCTCTCAAAAATGTGTTGCGAGAGAAAAAGCCCGATTTGGTTTTCTTAATGGAGACCAAAATGACCTCAATTCAGATGGAAAATAAACGAAGACAACTTGGAATGGAAGGGGCAGTTACGGTTGCGAGAGTAGGCTTGGGGGGAGGTTTGGCATTGTTCTGGAGTAGTGGGTGGGATGTGCGGATGTTATCTTATTCAGTTGGCCACATTCATGCTCTGATCACTGATTCGACTGATTCACAATTTTATCTTACTGGGTTTTACGGGCATCCTGACACTCAACAACGTAATCATAAAAATGTGTTGCGAGAGAAAAAGCCCGATTTGGTTTTCTTAATGGAGACCAAAATGACCTCAATTCAGATGGAAAATAAACGAAGACAACTTGGAATGGAAGGGGCAGTTACGGTTGCGAGAGTAGGCTTGGGGGGAGGTTTGGCATTGTTCTGGAGTAGTGGGTGGGATGTGCGGATGTTATCTTATTCAGTTGGCCACATTCATGCTCTGATCACTGATTCGACTGATTCACAATTTTATCTTACTGGGTTTTACGGGCATCCTGACACTCTTTTGGCAAATCATTCTTGGGAGTTATTACGCAGATTGTCTCACACGATTCATGGTGACTGGGTGGTAGTCGGAGATTTTAATGAGATTTTGTTTTCTAAAGACAAAAGAGGGGGACGAGAACGACCTCAATATCAGATGAATAATTTTAGGAAGGCTTTGGAAGATTGTCGGCTTAGCTCCACAAGATTTACTGGATACCCATTTACTTGGGTTCGCAGCTATCCGGATGGCAGTGCGGTGGAAGAACGGCTAGATAGATGTGTAGCAAATGGGGCTTTCTTTGATCGTTATGTACATTTGATGACTAGCCACTTAGTGGCAGTGGGTTCTGATCACTATCCGATTCTGGTGGAGGCTTGTGTTGATGATCGAGTATTCCTCTCAAGTGCAAAAAGGAATAGACGGTTTCATTTTGAAGAAATGTGGACCAAGGAGCAAGGCTGTGACAAGGTGATTAATGAGGCTTGGAATAGTGCTGACGGAGCAGATGGTGTAAGTAATAGATTATCATTGTGTGCAAAAGCGCTCAAAACTTGGAACCAATTTCATTTTGGAAATGTACGCAATCAACTCAAGTTTGCTTACCAGGAGTTAACAGCTCTTCAAGGAAGGTTGACATCAGATCAACATGCGTTAAAGACCAAAGTTGAGAATACTATCTCAGACCTTTTAGAGAAACAAGAAATTATGTGGAGACAACGTTCCCGAATAGCGTGGCTCAAGGAGGGAGACAAAAATACCCGGTTTTTCCATGAAAGAGCAAGCTCTCGATCAAAACGCAATAGGGTATGCGGACTATTTGATGTAAATAAGGTTTGGCAGACAGACGAGCATAAGATAGGGGCCCTTTTCTGTGACTATTTTAAGACCTTATTCTCATCCTCTGGCAGCCAGCAGATGGAGCGGATTCTTAATGACGTACGACCAGTTGTAACAAGTGAGATGAATGATCGATTGCTGCAAGGTTTTACAAGAGACGAGCTGGAGTATACATTATTTCAAATGTTCCCAACAAAAGCACCTGGATATGACGGCATGCCGGCATTATTCTTCCAAAAGTATTGGCACATTGTCGGAGATACGGTGGCTAACAAATGTCTGCAGATTCTAAATGGGGAAGGGAGTGTTCGTGAATTTAATCATACTCTTATTGCTCTCATCCCAAAGGTCAAGACGCCAACAACTGTTTCAGAGTTTCGTCCGATTAGTTTGTGCACGACCATCTACAAAGTGATAGCGAAAACTATTGCCAATCGACTGAAGAGGGTTCTGCCTGCTGTGATTTCAGAAAATCAAAGTGCCTTTGTTCCGAACCGAATGATTCTAGATAATGTGATGGCAGCCTTCGAAATAATGCATACTATTAAGGGGACAAAGAAGGGACGCGACGTTAATATGGCTCTCAAATTGGACATGGCCAAAGCATATGATAGGGTGGAGTGGGTGTTCTTGCGTGCAATGATGCTTAAACTTGGATTCTCTTCTACCTGGGTAGACAAAGTAATGGACTGCATATCAACTACAACTTTCTCTGTGCTTTGGAAGGGTACACCGCTGGGACATATCGTTCCACAACGCGGGTTACGGCAAGGATGCGCTTTATCTCCTTACCTTTTTCTTATGTGTACTGAGGGGTTCTCCACTCTCTTGCGTGGTGCAGAAAGAAGAGGTGACTTGGTTGGGGTTCAAGTGGCAAGGGGGGCACCTTCTGTGACTCATCTATTGTTTGCTGATGATAGTCTTCTATTCATGAAGGCTACGGCAAAGGCTTGTATGGCCTTGGAAAATTTGTTACAAATATATGAAGAGGTCTCAGGGCAACAAATAAATTACTCTAAGTCAGCACTCTCTTTAAGTCCGAACGCCACAAATGCAGACATTGAAATGGTTGCAGGTGAGTTGAATATTCCTATTGTGCAGTGTCATGAGAAATATCTAGGCTTGCCAACTATTGCAGGAAAGGGAAGGAAACAACTTTTTCAGCACTTAAAAGACAAACTTTGGAAGCAGGTAAGTGGGTGGAAGGAAAAGCTCTTATCCAGAGCCGGGAAGGAAATTTTAATTAAAGCCGTGTTACAGGCTATCCCCACTTATTCGATGAGTTGTTTTCGGATTCCGAAAGGGTTGTGCAAAGAGCTTAATGGAATTATGGCTCGATTTTGGTGGGCAAAGGCGAAAGACAAGAGGGGAATTCATTGGGTGAAGTGGGAGCTATTATGCAAAAGTAAGTTTATTGGAGGATTGGGGTTCCGGGACCTTGAGGCCTTCAATCAGGCTCTGCTTGCAAAGCAATGTTGGCGCCTTCTTCGGAATCCTGACTCTCTGGCAGCAAGACTATTTAGAGCAAGGTACCATCATTCAGTGCATTTTTTAGAAGCAGACACGGGAACAAATCCGTCTCTTATTTGGAGGTCTTTGCAATGGGGGAAAGAGTTGCTCAACAAGGGAGTTCGTTGGAGAGTTGGCAATGGGCTGTCCATCAAGGTTTATACTGATAAATGGCTTCCAGTCCATTCTCTTTTTAAAATTATGTCTCCTCCACAATTGCCAAGGTCAACACTGGTTTGTGATTTGTTTACTTCTTCAAGGCAATGGAATGTGCCATTACTCAAACAAGTTTTCTGGGAGCAAGAGGTGGAAGCTATATTGCAAATTCCATTGGTTTCCATGACAAATCATGATCGCTTAATTTGGCATTATGAGAGCAGTGGTATGTATTCTGTCAAAAGTGGATATCGGTTGGCATGCATGGAAAAGGAGAAACTGGGTGGAGGGGCATCATCTGTTACTGATTTGAATTCACTA